TGGGCAAAAAAAAAAAACCTGCCTCCGTGGGTGGCCGGGAGCTTCCCGAACTCGCCTCGTCGTAAAAATGGGGTGTGGGGTCCTTGCTTAACCAATAAAAATGAACGCGCCTAAGGGTCCAGGCTAACGTCTGTAAACAGACGCCCCGCGCCCCCCCGGGGAGCCGGGCTCGCCGGGGCGGGTGGGGCCGGATGCGCGGGTCCCCGGTGAGGCGGTGACAGGTTGCGTGTCGGGGACGCCCCTGGCCGAGGGTCACGCTCGCCTCTGTCCCGCTTAATTCACAGCTGTCATCAGAAGTCGGGGAGCGCTGGGTACACTTCAGAGCCAGCCCCCCCCCGAACTTGGAATCCCCGTGGGAATGGGGGGGGGGCTTGTTCTGCAAAGACAAAACCTCGGGGCGGGGGACGCGTCCCTCCCTCCCTGTGCCTGCGGGCCCCCTCGCCCCCAGACCCCGCCGATGTGCAGATGCGGCGTGTGTTTGGGGTGCATCCTGGGGGCCCCGACCCCTGCGTGCTGCCTCCGCGGGGGACTCCCAGCAGGGCCCGGGCAGCGCGAGCTCCGGGGCCCCGGGATCGTCCCCGCCGCCAGGGTTCCAGCCGGGATGGTGGGTGGGAGGGTTGAAATCCCAGGGTATTCCCTGGGGCGGTGTAACTTTTTAATTTGGGAAATGACATTTCTTTGTTTGCTGGAGCCAGGCATTCAGGAGAAGGTGTAGAGGCAAACTCTTCTCTGCCTTCCCATCTAGATAAGGGCTTTTTTTTTTCTTCCCCTTTCTTTTCAGGGACTGTGTTACCCATAGAATTCTCTTTATAAATGGCCCTTACTGTTGGCCTGAATCTTACGCGAATCTTTTGATAGCTTCCGCTGGCGTTTTCCTCCGCTGCTTATAGTTAAATCTGAAAGCGATCTGTAGCTAGCCAACCTCCCCCCCCCTTTTTTTTTTTTAGAAGGAATCTGTTTCCAGTTCTGGGTTTTTTCCTCATGATCGAGGGCTGTGTTTTGGGGTGTGGGCAGAGCTGTTGAGAGCTGCCAAGCTACTGTTTAAAAAAAAAAAAAAGCCTGAGAGTTTTACATTCTTTTAAAACTGAATAAAGCCTATTGTCACGAGGTTACAATAGACAACAGTAGATATCTTCAGAGCAGTGGTTAGAATTCATTTATTCATTCAACAGATATTTATTGAGTGTCTGCTGTGTGCCAGGCCCTCAGCAATCAAGGCCAGCGCTGGCCAGTAGAGAAAGAATGTGAGCCAGAGCCACATGTATAATTTAAAATGTTCTGGTAGCCACGGAAGAAAAGTGAAACAGGTGAAATTAATTTAAAAACTGTATCTGCATCAGTCCAACTTGACTAACATTATCATTTCAACATGTAATTATGATTACTGATATATTTTAGGGTTTTTTGGGGGGTTTTTTTGGCAGGTACAATCCCAGATGAAGCTGAATCCTCTCTGCTCTGGGTTTTTTGGTATTAAGTCTTCAAGATAAGATGTATATGACATACATAATCTTAATTCGCACTCGCCACATTGTAAATGGTCAGTAGCCACGAGTGGCTAGTGGTTACTGGATTAGACAGCGCGGCCCAAAGCAGCGAACAGATAGACAAGTTTGGGGAAGAGATGGACAATAAATACATAAGAACAGCAAGTGTAATCAAGAAAAGATGGATGAGTGCTAGTTATAAAGAAAATTTAATGGAGTGAGAAGAAAATGACTGGGCCACTTTAGATCCTGAGGCCTGGAAGGGTCCTCAGAAGGTGACATCAGCACCCAGCCCTGAATGACAAGGTGGAGCAGCCAGGCAAAGATCTGGGGCCCCAGGCGGAGTTTTCCAGGCCGATGGGACATCGAATGTAATGATCCCCAGGCAGGAAAAATCAACCAGCTTCCTGCTGCCTGGAGGCCTAGCTTCCATCTCTGCTAAGGCGAGTCTCCTTTCACAGACAAGGCCCATAATAAAATCTTTCCATTCAGCCTGTGTGTCCATCCACATCCCAGTGTTTAATTAGAAAACCCTCATCTTTTTCACCAAGAAGGGCCACGGCAGGTACAATCCCAGATGAAGCTGAATCCTCTCTGCTCTGGGTTTTTTTAAGTCCTGCACTAATTATGGCTTTCTTTTCCAGCAGCCATGTTTAGTTGGGGCCCAGACTCCCCTTCAGAATTTCCTTAATCCTAGGAATGAAGGAGAGACAGGAGTCACTGAGTTCTTCCTTCTTTTAGCTCCTGGATTTCGGAGCCTGAAATAGCAAGAGATTAAATCCCCAAATCACAGAAATAGAGTGTGAAATCTGGGTACGGCTCATGTTTAAGAAGCATTTCATGTGACCTGTTTGGCATAGGCATCATAATAGTTTAAGGAGCTTTGTTTCATTTATATTTAAAGAGGTATACCGTGTATATTTATTCAACAAATATTTAGTGACTGCCTGTTCTCTGCCGGGAGCTCTGCTAGGAACTGGGGGTAAACACACAAGGTCCCTCCTCCCATGGAGTTGACGTCCTAGCTGGGGAAGATAGTTAATAATCAAATTAGTGGTTGTGCTGTAAAGAAAGGAAAGTAAGGAGCTGTGAAGGAGATTGGCTTGGGGTCAGAGAGGGGTTCTGGAAGTTGTCGTTTAAGCTGAGACCTGAATGAAGAGAAGGTGCCAGCCATGGAGAGGCATTCCTGGGGACACGAATAGCTGGTGCAAAGGCCCTGAGGTTGGAACTAACTGAGCACAGTTAAGGGGTGAGAGGCTAGTGTGCTAGAGCCAGGGCCAGGGAGAGGAGAGAGATGAGCCCAGGTGGGAGGCAAGGCAGGGGCCAGTTTCTGTAGGATTTTGAGGGTAGGGTGAGAAGTTAGTGGTTTATTCTAAGAGTGATTGAAATTGATTTCTCTGGGAGGTAAGGAGAATGGATGGTAGGGCCAGAGTGAGAGCAGCTGGAGGGCTGCTTAGTAAGAGGTGATGTTGCGTAGATTAGAATAGTAGCCATGGAGATGAAGGGCCAAGTTAGGTTTGCCAAGCCTTTTGGAAACAGATTTGATAGAACTTGCTAATGGACTTGGATTGGGAGGTTAAGAAAAGAGAGAAATCAAGGATGACCCCTTTTCAGATCATGTAGAGAGCCTCCATGGTGTCCAAAGGACAGAAGTGAACCAAGTGTAAATATTGTCAGGATGGAACAGAGACATTTTTATCTGGATCAGCTGATGAAAAGGTACCTTCAGGTCAGACAGTGTCATTTAATAGTGTCTACATATGGGGTCTCAGCCTCGGCACTAGTGACATTTTGGGCCAGAAAATTCTCCATGGGGGGACTGACTTGTGTACGGTAGGATGTCTAACAGCACCCATGGCCTCCACCCATTAGATACCAGCAGCACCGCCCCCAGTTGTGACAACAGAAATGTCTCCAGACATTGCCACGTGTCCCCAGGGGACAAAATTACACCCAGTTGAGATCCATTGGGCTACATGTAGGAGGCATTAACAGATCAGGGCTGTGTCACCATGAGAAAATATCTGGAAGAAACTGTTGCCAGATTGCTGCATAACATTAAGAGCCCTGTTTTGGATTTTAAATATGAAGTAAAATATTCTTACCATGCAAATTGTCACATGCAGAGTAATAGGCTCCTACAGACAAATAATGATATAAACAGAAGGATCACACGTGCAAACACAAATTTCTAGGAGGAATCGCCAGGGCCTGTAAAAACACCAATTTAGACTTGATATTTTAAAACCTAGATTTACATGTAGAACCTCAGGGAATGAATATAAAAGAAGCATCCTTAAATAGCAAAGCCACCGAAAGTTTGATATGATTTATTAAAATTCTATTTAAAGACAGTTTTCAGCAACACACGTATTTTATAAAACATGATATGCCCATGTATTTTCTTATAATGCATATGCTGGAAAGTATTAAAAGTACATGTATAAGTATTATATACATATATGCATCTTTACCATCTGTTTCGTTGAATCCAAGCTATGGATCATATTGCCATATGTGTCACTGAGAAAAAAATGCTGCCTTTTTAACCATGAAAAGTCATCACTTTTAAGACACATCCTGATTTCTAGGAGGTCAAAATGTGAGAAGACATAAAGATGTGTCCTGTTTAAATTAGTATCCATCTGATAACAGCTATAAAAGGGTCAAAGTCTCGAAACTATGTTAAAATGGAACTTACACATCAGGAAGTGACCTCAGGATGGAAGCCAGTTTTTATATTAGTATGTATCACCATCATAGTGGTCAAAAAATCAGTTCTGAAGCCCTTAACTTAGGAGCTTCATCAGCCATTGAGAACCTTCCACTGCAGTAGAAAAATGAACCAGGGAGCTGCCCTTTGGGTCGATGGAGAAGCACCGGTGAATCCAGCACCTCTTGTTCCCAAGGTGCCATACTAGGCCCAGCGGCCACAAAGATTACCTCGCCTTGCCATTTTGGAACAAGGGCGCCTACATTCTGGTGAGGCGTGAACGAGAATGAGCAACTCGGGGCGTGACTTGTGTGGCCAGTGCGCGGTGTTCAGGGAGATGTCACGGGTGCTGGAGCCGATGCTGGGGGTGGAAGCCCAGGCTCAGCTGCCTTTCTTGTGTAGGCAGGTGGAACACATTTGAAAGAACTGGGGGAGATGTGATGCGTGTTTTTGTTTTAGCAGGGTACCTGGGGGCAGTTAAAAGGAATCAGGAGAGTCTTGGAAAAAGTTCTGGGCAAAATGGGGTGAAGGTTTAGATGAGAACAGAGGGGAGATGGAACTGGGAGGCCGTATCCAGTGATCTAGGCAAGAGGAAGCAGGGCAAGTGCTGAACATTTCATTTTAGCCGGGATGTTGGGGAGGATGCTGATGAATTTCAGTTAATCTTTTTTTCACCTCTTTCCTGGTAGCAGGTTCTTTCCAGGAGAATTTAAATACATTTGAAAGCCTCCTAATCTGCACCATCTACCGCATCCTTGCCTGGTCTGGTCCTGATCTGGTCCTCTCTCCTTTCTTCCTCTTTAGGCATTCATAGGAAATGCGACCTCCGTACACTGGGTTTACCCTTCCTTCCAAAGGTTACTGAGTCATGGTTAACCAACAGAGGGGAGTGCCAGAACTGAGTAACCACCGTGGAATGTGGCCTTTGGCTACTGTTACTGCCCCAGGTCACTTAGATGACCATTCCCTCCCAGAATCCCACCCTTTGCCATGGGAGACTGTGGCTTCCTGTGTCTGAGTCAGGGAGGTGGTGAGGGAAATGAGAGTGCTTGTTTGAAGCATGGTGTCTCTTGTCCCAGAGGAACCGCTGCTGCTGGCTGAGCTCAAGCCCGGGCGCCCCCACCAGTTTGATTGGAAGTCGAGCTGTGAAACCTGGAGTGTCGCCTTCTCTCCAGATGGCTCCTGGTTCGCTTGGTCTCAAGGACACTGCATTGTCAAGCTGATCCCCTGGCCGCTGGAGGAGCAGTTGTAAGTATTCTCGCACCCAAAGGAACGACGGAGTCCCCAGGATGAGAAACATGAGTGCTTACCCAAATTACTCCCTACTCTCCTGTGTCCTCCTGCCCAAGAACAGGAGAGGGAAAATGTCAGAACAGTTGTTGGTCTTTTTGGCCATCCGGGTTGGTGTGAAGTGGCATCTCCTTGTGGTTTTGGTTTGCATTTCCTGGATGGCTACTGATATTTGGCACATTTGTATATCTGCTTTGGAGAATCGTCTATTCAGAGCCTTTGTCCATTTAAAAATTGGGTAATTATTTTTTTGTCATCGACCACGTTGGTTTCTGATATTTTTCTTTCTTTGGGCTGGATAGGTCCCAGTGTCTGATGTCCCAACATTTGCATTCTTCATTTGTCCCAGGGAAACTCTGTCTGTATTTAGCCAACAATTGCTGCAAATCTTCTCTGCCTGAAACTGAGCTAGGGGCTGAGAATCCTAAATAAATCACACAGCCTCTGCCCTGGAGGGTTTCATTTGTTTTGCTTTAGGCATTTCTTATAAATTGCATATTAAATTTACGTTTTTTATATTTAGTCTGAAACTTGTTGCCTTGATAATAGGTAATGCTGATGGGAATTTGCAGAGATGGGTACTTTGTACACTGCTAGGGCCCAGGGGTGTAAATTAGTGCACTCTCTGGAAGGACAGCTGTTTGGCAGTAGGGCATCAAAAACCTTAAAAATGTTCTTCCAGTGATTAGGAATCTCAGAAATGGGGTCATCTATTTACATACACTGATTTTCATCATGAAATTAATTATATAGTAGTTAAAAATCAGAAATAACTTCAAATCTGGCAATGAGGAAATGGTTAAGGACATTGTGGCATTTCCATATATTTTTGCAGCTGTCAGAGATTGTGTGTGTTTTTTTAAATCATGATTTTCAGTTCCTTCTATGGTCAGTTTAATGATAATGCCAAGGTTCATTGTTTATTGATCCACCCACTCTAAATACAGGGGACTTCATACTTACTCTGATAAAGTGTACCGCGGGCAGGAACTTTCAGGTTTTCTGGCTGAACTTCAGTCTGTCTAATTGCTCATGCATTTGAGATACCATCTGGTAGGTGGCGTGGTGGAAGAACTGTATGTTAGGGACTGAATCTCACTTAGCTTATCTAGGCCTATGTTTCATCACAAGTAGAATGTAAAAGAAGGGGGCGGGTCAAGATGTTTAGTGCACCCCTGAATAGTTCTGTGGGTTCTTTCTCTCTGTTGACTACCCTACTGGTTTGATATACCATCAGGGAAGTAAATGATGGAGCCTCATTAATTGATTGCAACATAGTAAGCGAAGGTGGAAATCAGGGTGTACCAAGCAAAGTGTGTTGGCAAGAAAAGCATTTGTTTCCCTGCTTCTTAGGCATTTTCTAAGCTAGAGATGGGGGGTCTCATCAGGCAGGAGAGCTGCAGATGGATATTCAGGCTTTCAGTTCTGCCCTAGTTCCAAATCTGCAGTGTGCTTTCTTTCTCATGGAAAAAACTGAGTGCATCTTTCCTTCCACTCACCAAAACCTGAGAGAACTTTCTGAGGAAGCGTATGGCTCCCTGCAGCATCTGTGGTCTCGTTACCCCACAAGGCAGGTCACCCCATTGCAGGGCTGCCACAGATGGAACGAGCCAAGGCCAAGATAGGCCTGCTGACTGGGAAGCCTCTTTTACACGAATTCTAAAAAGCAAAGTCAGACCAGAATTCACCAAAGGCCAGTTTGTTCCTAGGACTTTAAAGTCTCAGGTACCCAGGATGAAAGGCTGGTTGACTTGGTGACAGTTTCAGACTTATGAAGAACTTTCTACTCTCCCCAGCATCCCTAAAGGATTTGAAGCCAAAAGCCGAAACAGCAAAAATGATGCGAAAGGGCGAGGCAGCCCAAAGGAGAAGACTCTGGACTGTGGGCAGATTGTCTGGGGTCTGGCCTTCAGCCCGTGGCCATCTCCCCCCAGCAGGAAGCTCTGGGCACGCCACCATCCCCAAGTGCCAGATGTCTCTTGCCTGATCCTTGCTACGGGACTCAATGATGGGCAGATCAAGATTTGGGAGGTGCAGACAGGTAAGTCATTTCTGGCTGGTACAAGGTCCTGGAGGCCTATGTGCATGGTCTAATCAGGAGCTTGGAGGGCCACCAGCTCCCCATGTGGCTGAGGGGTGTCGCTGTGACTAGCAGACCGGGCGCCATCTTTCCCACTGACGGTGCTCCTGCTTCCACGCTAGGGCTCCTGCTTTTGAATCTTTCCGGCCACCAAGATGTTGTGAGAGATCTGAGCTTCACACCCAGTGGCAGTTTGATTTTGGTCTCTGCGTCTCGGGATAAGACTCTTCGCATCTGGGACCTGAATAAACATGGTATGGAGGTTATGGAACTCCTGAGACACTCCTAAAATACTGTATTTGCCCCTTTCTCTACTTTATCAATATCATTTTTACCTGGAATAGTGTTTCTCAATCTTTTTTTTCTATTTTTGCTTCTTTCAGAGCTTTTTCAGACATTTTTTTCCTAATCACTCCACTTCACCCCTTGATGATTTTAATATTGTATATCCATGTACTGAATGCATATTTATGCTTTGTATGTAAAAAAAAAAAAAAAAAAAAAAAATTTTTTTTGACCGTAGAACCAGTTTTTGCCACTGTAGATATCACCTTTATTGAAAATACCATGGTGTGGAATACCTGTTCTCACCGTGGCACTATTGACATTTTGGGCTGGATAGTTCTTTGTTAGGGCGCTACTGTGCTCTCCGCGATGCTGAGCATCGTCGCCGGCCTCTACCCTCTAGATGCCAGTAGCACCCTCTACAGTCGTTGAGAACCAAAATGTCTTGAGACATTGCCCAGTGTCCACATGAAGGGCAAAGTCTCCCCAGACTGAGAACCACTGATCTAGAAGTCGTCATGGGAACCTCCTGTTAGCAACAGCGTTTCTTCGGCAAGTCGAATCCCGGTGGGGAAGAATTCTCTCAGGCTGGAGGAATTCTCTCAGCTTTCACGCAGCTCTGCCTTGAGCAGGATTATGTCCAGGAGTGCAGGTGCTGTTCTTGTTGGATAGCTGAAGAAACCATGACCAACTTTAAAAAAATTAATATATACCCATACATTTATAAATGCATATAAATGACCATGTACATTCTTAGTATGTGTTTTTCCTTTCATTTTGGCTTCACAGCCTCCTCCCCAGGCCTTTCCCTTCTTTGTCCCTCTGCTGATCCCTCCTTAGTCCCCTGTACGCTTGTGACCCCGCTAAGCGGCTTCCGTATTTCTTTCCGTATTTTGCTTATACTTGTATGGCCCTGTTCGGACACTCGCACTCTTAAAACTTACGGGTTGGGGTCATTATTTCATAAGAATGTTATCACAGTCTTCATATTTTCTCTGAGTCTTATCTTTTTTATTAAAGATAGTCCATGGAAAATCTGCATTCTTAGTTTCATCTGAATTAACAGGGTCTTCCTGTTACATCCTTTATTCACTCATTTCCGTATGGATGGGCATTTTATTTTTCCCCAAAATAGACCTGGAGAGATTACGTGAGTGATCCAGGGTTCTGTGCTAAGTAAACGGGAGCCGGGGTTCAAACCCAAGTTTGCCTGACTCCAGAGCACATGGCCCTAATAATTACACCATTGCTCACCCAGACACCCTGATTGGGTGGAGGCGGGGAGGGTGTGGAGTGGGACCCTTGTGACAAGGGGAAACCATTACAGGGAAAAGAGAAGGTAAACACTCTCAGATTCGGAAGGATGGTTCAAAGTATAATTAAGGTGGTTGGGAGGCATGAAAAGAATGTTCTTTGCTATCAAAGGGTTCTGTGGAACTTGATCTGTGTACACCCTTTGTCCTGACGATCGTGTGGAGTCTGGTGAAACAATAGGTCGTGATTTCCCTTGGGTGTTAGAATATTGTATTAATAGATTTCAGATATCTAAATGACAGGTTCTGTCGTATTTCTTTCTTTGCCTTGAAAAGTGGGCGTTGGGACTCCAGTTGCTAGAGAACTCGGTGGATACACTGGGTGGGCGGCCCATCACTCCCAGTTCTCAGCCTTCCTGCTTTGTGGTTCTGAGACAGCTCACCGTCTGCCCCTTTTCTCTGCCAGGTAAACAGATTCAGGTGTTATCGGGCCACCTGCAGTGGGTTTACTGCTGCTCCATCTCCCCGGACTGCAGCATGCTCTGCTCTGCGGCTGGGGAAAAGTCGGTAAGTCTCACACATCAGGTGCCATTTCCTCTGTTGGGTTAGCTTAGCAAGACCTGGGGGTCTGGAGCAGCCAAGTGTCTGAAAACCTGTCTGCAGATCAGCCCAACAGAAGGCATGCTGGTGGGCCATGACCTCCTGCATGCAAACCTCCCTTTTCATTTGCACTTTGACATGAACCAAAAGAGGATGTGTTTAAGTAGATCGCTGCCATTATCAGAGGCCTGTTTGTCTTTATAAGTAGTATAGGGGTCCTTTTTAAATTTCTTTTCCCCTTAGAGTCTAAGATTTTAAGAGTTGCAACCCACATATGGATCCAGATTTCGTTTGAACAGTCTAATTTGTATCTACCTAATTAGGATTTCCATTTCAGATCATAAAATGTATGGCTACTTGCTCAACTTTGTCCTGAAATCCTTCCTGTTATTCTAAACCGTATTAGAAACCCAAGAACAGTTTGGGAACAGTGTGTTTGTTTGAATTTTGTATCTGCACGGAGCTGTTTGCTGTGACTGACTTGGGAAAGTTAAGGATTCACTATTTGGTACAGCCCAGGTGGTTAATCATTCATTTGAGGTTTGGAACTATGTGAAAGTGAGTGTTTTTTTAATGGAAAGAAAATAAAATCCTGTTTTTAATGATTCTCAAAAAGGTTTAAAGTGATGAGCTATGTCAGACATACAGTGGTGGGGCCAGTTTCCACGGTCCCATAAACACATGGGTATAAAATGGTGTGGCAGGGTGCCACCACCTTGTTGGTATCCCTGAGATTCACCTGACCCCTATTTTTGGTAATAAATGAAAGGACAAGATGGCCCTTGGCTTAGGTCTTCATCCACTCACACTGCATGTTTGCAAACAGGCTCAGCAGCAGAACTTGGAAGTGCTGGTACATGTTAGCTGGCAGTCTTTCTCGTGCATTCCATTGGTTAGGCGCCTCAGGAATTCAGAACTGTGACTTTATTTAAGCTGTAGAAAAGAAGGGGTGGAGACCTTGGCTTCATCTGGCCATGGGGCCTGAAGTGGGCACTGGTCACACTCTAAGCACTTTGTTTCCACCCCTAACCAGGCACCTGTTACCTTCCACAGGTCTTTCTATGGAGCATGCGGTCCTACACATTAATCCGGAAGCTAGAGGGCCACCAAAGCAGTGTTGTCTCCTGTGACTTCTCCCCTGACTCTGCCTTGCTTGTCACGGCTTCTTATGATACCAACGTGATCATGTGGGACCCTTACACTGGCGAGAGACTGAGGTCACTCCAGTAAGGACCAAATCCCTGCTTACGACTTCCTCGTGGGGTGACTGATGAGAAACCTTGGATTAGACCTGTCCCTTTTAGAGTCTGGGGCATGGGAGGGGGCAACCTGGGGAAGGGACACAGTGGAATTCAGTGTTTGTTCTAAGTGCCTTCAACTCTCCTGCTAGATGAGACTGTACTTCTTTGGATTCAGCCTAAAGAAACCTCAAAGTGACTCTTTTTTTCCATTTACTAATAGCTGTACTAACAAGTTCAGAATGTTCCTCTCATCGAAACTGCTATTTCCAAAATGAATTTTCATGTTCTCACAAATTTGGTCTGTTTTTCTCCTTTATCTCTGTTGTTTTATGAAGCAAATAACAGGTAGTCCTATAATTATCATGCATCTCAGCCTAAAAAAGACTTTCAGTTTGTACTGTGGCCTTAAAGGGAGGGTGACCTACTTTGCATAAGAAAACTAGCACAGGGAGTGTTAGTAACCCTTCAGCCCCCTCCATGAGACACTTGGAGCCTTAGTAAATGCACTTTTTTCCAGTCTTCTTTTCTAGTCCGCAAGTCCCAAGGTTTTCCATGTGGGGTACATGATGCATCCCGAGCCCTTCCATAGCCAGGTAGTTTGGCCTCCTGCCTGGGTTTGAAGACGAAGGGCAGAGGGTGGCCATCGCCCCTTACTGCCTGCTTCTCTCTCCTCAGCCACACCCAGCTCGACCCCCCAATGGACGACAGTGATGTCCACATTAGCTCCCTGAGGTCTGTGTGCTTCTCCCCGGAAGGCTTGTACCTTGCCACGGTGGCTGACGACAGGTAACAAGAGAAGCTCGCTTTATGTGGCCTCTTAGCAAGTGCTTGCAAGTCACGGTGGCATCTCCCCAGGGCTCTGGCCCCAGGTTTGCTAATGTGCAAACGTCCTTCTCTTTCTCATCCAGACTCCTCAGGATCTGGGCCCTGGAACTGAAAACTCCAATTGCATTTGCTCCTATGACCAATGGTCTTTGCTGCACATTTTTTCCACATGGTGGAGTTATTGCCACAGGGTATGTATCTGTTAGCTGAACAGATGGGCAGCAATTTCTGCTGAGTATACTCCGCGTAGCTTTTTAAGGAAAGCGAGCATTTAGAATGTTCTTGCCTGTGAGGAAAGCTTTAAGGAAATCCAAGATTACATAAAATTCTAATATTCTGTTTTGCCAATATAGGTTACCATTTATTTTTAATATTTAATCTAAATGTAATTAAAGAGTTACAATTCATGACAGCTAATGGACCAAGCCTGCAAGGAAGCATAAGTTAAGATGATGCAGAATTTATATGGAAGCGGTCACAGCAGAGACCACCTTTCAGGGACCATCTATAATTCAGTAGGTGGCATTCTTCCGTTACTTTGGAATGCATAGTGTGAATTAGAAAGGGCTGTGCTGACAGAGAGAGCACTTTGGTATCAAAGGTGTCTGGAGTTCTTACAGTCCTCTTAGCAGCCTTAATTATTCAGCTCCACAGCTTTTACATCCATTTCAACAGTCAGGGTTACATTTCACTCTCTGGAGCCTCCTGCTAGTGCAAGTCAGATAGAAACATTAGTATCTGTCACCATGAAAACATCTATTTCCAAGGTCTGTCTGAATGCATTGGTTTCTGCTTTGTTTCAGGACAAGGGATGGTCACGTCCAGTTCTGGACAGCTCCCAGGGTCCTATCATCACTGAAGCACTTATGCCGGAAAGCCCTCCGAAGCTTCCTCACCACCTACCAAGTGCTAGCACTGCCAATCCCCAAGAAGATGAAAGAGTTCCTCACATACAGGACTTTCTAAGCAACGCTACATGGTCTTACTTACTTTCTCTGTAGCAGGATAAATCACCCTGGCAAAGGAGTAGCTGGAATAATGGGCCGAATACGTGGTCTTGGATGGAAATAGAAATTCTCTTTGGGATTGTGAGTAGAATGTAGCAAAACCAGACTCCAGTGGACTAGTCCTGGATCTTTTCCCCACGCATGTGAGAGTCAGGCATAGAGGAGGGGATTCCACTTCCATGGCCACAGAGCCTTATCTTAAATCTTCAGTCCACGCAGAAACAACAGTTTTGAATTCTTTCTAGTAGTTCTGATTCAGAGTGCGGTTACTGATGTTTTGTTAAGGAGCGTTAACTAGGCCTCCAGAGCCTCTGTAGTGGCAGAGAGATTTCAACTCCCCCCTAGGAAGCGTGGCGACTGCCTAGTACTTACTGTTGTTCTGATGCCACAGTAGCATCGTTTCAAGTTCTCTCCTGTTGTGTCAGAGTTGCTTTGATGTTGGCACGTCTTTCCTTCCTCTAGCTCCCCTCTGACCAGCAGTTTTCATGGAGTGGCCTCTGGTATGAGGTATTAACCCAGAGGCTGTGCTCCTGACTAATACACTATCATTGGTTTGCTTTTTTTTTTTTAAACCAACAGTGGTGTGCATGTGCAGATGACAAATTTATATGCCAGGTTACCCCAGGATTTATTCCTAAACTGCATGACTGTTCTGATGGCTGAGTTGTCAGCTGTTTGCCTTTCATTAGCATATTTATTTGTATTTTCTCAACAGATGTTAAGGTACAACTGTGTTTTTCTTGATGGTATCTAAAAACCATAGTACTTAAGTCTAACAGTTGTGAAGCTGTCTCCTTCATTGTGTAAAGCATTGGTGTTGTCATCACTTCTGCTGATCTTCTCGTGTACGAGGTCTGACTCTGCTGCTTCACCTCATTGGACTAGTGAGCCAGTTTCAGCTCTACCCCTAAACAAATATAGCTCCTTAAAAGTACTGTTCTTCAGTGACGTATAGTTATCTAATCAAGACACCTCATTCAAACAGAATCTGCCTTTGGAAAGTTTAATATATTTTAAATTATTTTAAAAGAAATGCAACATCCTATCCTTTGGCTTTCTTACTAGGTGCTTTATGGAGGCCAGTGTAACATAAAACGTGTTGAAAAGGAGAGGACTCTCTCCTGTACTGCCTTTGTTGCTGAAGAAAGACATTTCTTTTCAAGATGACTTTCATTGAAGGAAAAAGTTAAAAGCTTTTGGTTCTCCGTTTCATTTTTTCCATTAAGAAAAAAAAATCACCTTTAAAACAAGTGAGTACAACAGGATAGGTGGGAATGGATTGGGCAGGTTTTTAACTTTGTGGTTATCTTGAAGAATCACGAATAGTGTAATCCGGGAGGCTCTGGGTGGCTTCCTGGAGGCCCCACTTAGCCATTAGCTTCAAACTTTGCAGGTGTCCTTGGGGAGCGAGCCCTACGTGAATGACGGAAAAACCAACTTCTCCCTTTTGATAGTGTCAGAATTTGACACTTTTACAAAGAACGGCCTCCAAAGTTGATTCTGTGGTGTCAGAGGTGAAGGTTTCATACAGATGCAAGGTGAATAAATCACAGTGTCTATAACTAAGGAAAGGAGAGTCACTTGTAACAACCAACAAGAAAGATGCTTTATTTTAAACACAGCACAACTACTATAAGGTAAACTGCTACATCCGTACACAGGCCCCAATCCTTCCAGCAGTGGCAGGGTTAGTCAGGCTTAATCTCCTGTGCCCTCCCTGCATTAAATCTGTGTTGTATAACCTCTGACCCCTAATGGCTTAATGGAAAGTTTTCTCTACTGTCCACCCACAATTAGGAGCCTGCTAGGAAATCCTCTACTTCAAGAGGAGAAATAAAAAGACCAGTTTTTAAAGTAAGACAAATGAGTCTGTTGTATGAGTATAATAGTTTGGGCCAGATATCTGTTAACATCTACTCTGAAAGTAGCTACACAGACAGTGTCATGGATTACATGTGGTTTGGGAGATGCTGTTTATCTGGAGTTGGAAGGCCTGGGGGCCATAGACTTGAAAGCCTTACAGTCCAAAATTAAAGGGTAGGCTGACTTCCTGTCACGTAGCAACTAAAGGGTAAAAGCCTTACGGTTGAAATAAAGGTGTTTGCTTTTTTCTCCCTGTAAAACACAGTGGGCAGTCAGTAAGACAGTTGTAGATAAAATTGTTTTGTACATCTCTGCTCCAAACAGCCACAAACACGGTACTTTTGTTACGTCTTCCCACCCATGCCTGGAACAACAATTTTCCAAGAGTGGGGGTGATAATGGCTTTATCCCCTGACCCTGGGCAGCAGTTTGTCCCATAACCAAGTCCTCTGTTCTCTAGCCACTGCTGGGCCTGAGAATTGCAGTAAATGGTCCTCAGCCAGCATCTAGGCCTCTGAGACAATCAGGTCTCTGGTGACTTGAAAAGCTGCAATGAGGGAACTCAGCTGAATCTTCTCATTGGTGCCAACAGAAAGTCTGTACCTAAGTGAAATCAAAAGGTAATGGTAAGAGTAGAGAACATCAGACAGCAACCCTTTGACGACAGAACAAGAGATCAAAGACTGCACATCTGAAGGGGAGGCCAGCAGGCAAAAATTTATCCTGGACGTCAATCTTGTATGCTCCCCTAACATTTTCTTCTCTGTCCTAAACACTCATAATTTTTTCCTCACCAATTTGAAGGAAAAATGAAGTCTAAATTGTTCGCAGTGTTCTGAACTCAATTTTGTTCTAGCTCGATAAAGATATGCAGAATTTACATGGCTAAGGATGGTTCCTTCCCCTACAGAATGCACTGAGGAATTCTAGTGACGATGTCCTTCCTCTCAGCTCACTGAGGTTTGGCTGGTAACACTGTAGAGGTTCTGTGCAGCCAGTACAGCACGGCACTGCCATTTCTTCCACCTTTTATGTGATTAAGTCATTGAAAGCAAAACCATGACATTCACAGTGTGGTGATAAGAAGTCACCTAATTTGTGCACCCGAAAGCCAATGAGGGCCAATTAGAGCTGGCCTGTGTTGACAGTCTTATTTTGAATCCAATGCTTCTGTCTATTTCAATGATAGCCGCCAGCTTCACTGGGGGCTAATAACTTTACTGAGCCAGGCAAAGTGGGAAACTGAGTTGTTCACCTCTCCCCAGTGTACTTGAGTATGTGGAGATGCCTTACAGCTGGACAGCCGACTGCGCCTGCAGACCCGGGGGTCTCACTGCAGCAGGCCTCCCCGACCAGTGTGCACCAAGCCTTTGAGGTCTTTCTCTCAAGTATGCGACTGAGTTAACCCTCTCCTTGAGTTCATTCATGTTCTTCAAATGAGCCTCTCACACCCTTCCCGTTTCATTCATTGGTCCCACCAAAAACCAGATCGCGCTGTATAGGAATGATTTAGACCAAAAATTTGAAACCAAGCAAGTAGAAACAAACCACGACAGGGCAAAAAGGAGGAAAACAACTGGGAAGTAAATACTCACTCAATTTCTGCCATTTTGGTCAATAAGTGTATTCGAACTGAAGATGGAAAGTCAACTGGGGGAAAAACAAAATCAAGAGAGGTCTGTCATTCCCTACTGTTTAAAAAAATCCCAGAGAAGTATGAGTTTAAAGATCAGATGGATAATACATTACTTGCAGCCTCAGATCACTGGATGCCACACCTCTAAGGAAGTAAAAACTGGGTGAGTTTTCAGTTTTTGTCCACTCCTGAGTCTTCACAGTAACCCCCCCATTAGATTCCAAAGTGGTAAGAACAGGGAGCCTCCAGCACTGCTCTCAGCAGCTGGGTAGCTCTGTAAGTTAACGTAAAAGCTGTTTTCACTTGCTGTCCCAGTTTTAAAAACAAGCAAACTATTGATTTTTAAGTCAGTTTATGCTCAGCTTCCACAAAGTACAGAGCTGGGCCTGAGCCAACCGTGTTCTTGGACAGAAGGTTACGTGCCAGCCAGCCGGGAAGAGGCCTGTAAGGGCGCCGGCAGGAGCAGCGTTCACCGGCCCGCTGTCTGCAGTTGGCTGTTGTGGGGGAAGAGCTGCTCCAGAGGCTGCACGACAGATCACCTGGAAAGCTCGAAAACCTACCGATCCTGGTTCTCCCCCAGAAGGCCAACTGCATTGGTTTGGGGGTGATTCCTATGTGCTGCCACGGTTGAGAGCCAGGTCTTTGTATAGAAAATAGAACCTAGTGTGGAACTTGAGGTGGTTCAGTTAAGACTGCTGCAGTTTACATGAAGCTAGGGCTTCCTTCTCCCTCTCCTTTTGGGCAAAATAACCTTTTAGAAACGTGAACTGAAACACTCCTTGTTGCTATAAAATATAAACCCTCAGAGGAAGTTCAGTTAGCCTTCAGGGCTTTCTTCCCACTCTCTCCCAGCAGTTCTAGGGGTTCAAAGAGTATTTTTGGAATGAAGTCAAATAACAAAACTAAAAATGAGGAGTTAGGGTTATACGTCTTCATTCCCGTTTCTCTGCTTCAAAAACAAAGCCTCAGGTTCCCTCTCTGATCACCCTTAACTGCAAAGCACGCCACACTTTCCATAGCTGCTAAACCGAGGAATAGTGCAAGTTACCTCTGTGCACAAACAAGTGTATCTCTGTCAGGATATCGTGTAGTGCAAGCCCTTTCAGAGTTTTCAGCTCCATGATACCTAGAGAGGAGCAGTTAAGGCCAAGGGGAAAAGTTCTAGAACAAACGCGCTGCAGAGACTTTTGAATCAGAGCACTGGTGCGTGGCTTTAGAAAGTAGGGCTTCTAATCTCAGCACAGCTGTTTCTATCTGCAACTGTACATGTTGAACCCCGATTCTTATTTTTCTTGCTTTTATCTTCAATAAGGGCTTTCTAGAAGATAGAACATTCCCCAGGAGGCTTCATATCACTACACCTAGCTTTTTATGTCACAGCAAAACAAGAGAACAGGGACTACCTGAAAATTATTGCATCTCCCAACCCAAGGTGCATCTCTTCTATCTGGGAATAAAGTGGCTTCCAGCTGTACCCAGGTCAGTGCCCTTCAGGAAGAATCGGGCACTAAAGACAAGTAGCCACTCCACCCACAGCCATCTTATTCCTCTGACAAGGTGACCAGAGTCACACACAGCTAACCGTCTTGCCAGGAGCTGCTGTAACTCCTGGGGGCGAGTTCAGGCCTTGGGCACTTAAAGCGCTGTTGGCAGCACACAAGAAAGGATACTTCTGTAGGCTGTGGTGAAGTCTTGATTCAGCATCCAGTCCAGAATGTTGGCGATGTCTGACTTGAGTGGGTGGCCTGTGCAGGTGTAGACAGTCTCCTCTGTCACCTTCCCGAAGGCCATATTGGTACTCTGCAGACAGGGACAGAAATCACGGTGGCTGTCACAGCAGCCGCCAAGCTGCAGGCAGGTCAGAAGGAAACTGCTGAGGCAGCGATGCAGGGGACAGCAACATTACAAGGGCACAGGAGAGCTGGAACCTGCATTTATTTCCACTGGTAAGGGCTGGCCTCTCCCGAGGACGCTGCTGGTCGGCTATGTTACAGCTGCAGAATCCTTCCCTTTCTTTGCCTTGTTTGCAACAAACTATTCTTTCAATTAATCAAAACTCGAAGGGGTGGGGAGATCTCCGACACATTAAAAGATTAAGACCTTAACCAGTTCTAGATTCCTGAATTTACAGATTGGTCCTACTGTTGCTTATGTATTTCTTGCAAAACTATTCCAAAGCAACGACTTGAGATTTGCTACGAGTAGCACTGTACCTGCAGAATGTTCAGAGCCCGTCGCATATCTCCACTGGAAAGAGTTACAAGGGCTTTCATCCCATCTTCACTTATGTCAACTCTGAAAGGAAACAGGCAGAAGCGGTGAGAGCCGCTGGGAGCCCACGCGTTCACAGGGGAACAAGGCCTGCACTGAGTAAGGCTTCGAAACAGTGAAAGCAAAAGGACCGGCGGTTACTGCTCTCCCGCTCCCTGGGACCTAGAATTCACTCTGGCGCCGAGGGATGATGGCTTTGCATCAGCAGTCCCAGCCCGAAGGCTAGAAAGACCCTTATTGAGAACCGGGAATTGCTCTGTTGAGCAACTGGCTTTGAATTATGCGCTCTGGGGAGGAAAGGGCACTGGCGAGCTGTGTGATCCCAGGGTCCAAGCACCTTTCAAAGCAGCAGTTCAGGTTGGTTACTTGCTCGGCATCTGATTACACAGAATGTATTATCTCAGTACCTTCCCTTCTAGTCGAAAAAGGCGAGAGGCGCCTTAGCAGAAGGCACTTGGCAGCATGCAGTTTCCAGTGACACAGGAGGAAACTGGGACGGGTTCCAGGGGACAAGGCCGCAATCACGAGAGCCACCAAATGACTTTTCTGAAGAATGTCCGTGACACACCAGAGAAGATGGCAGCAGTTAAGAGCCCCTGGTGCTAGGTGCTCCGCTAAGTCGCTTACAAAATCACCTTTAAATGTCATCCCAGAGTCCTACTTACACACGCTCGGGCCCTGGGACCCACACCTTTCCTGCTTTTCAATGTACGTACTTCTCTTCCTCTGCGACGTGTTCCAGGCGTGGGACCATGAGTTCAGGAGTCAGGGGACCGAATCGGAACCTTGTACACCGGGACTGCAAGGCGGGGATGATCTTTGACAGGTAGTTACAGATGAGGCAGAATCTGGTATTTTCAGTAAACTTCTCAATCACTGGCAAGGGAAAAGAAAACTGCCTCATGTCCATTCGGATTCTTCAAAGGACCCAGAAATCCTGAACTTTTCTATGGTCGCCTGAATGGTACAGGGAACAGTGTAACAAGAATTCAAGGGTGCAAACAAGTGGGGGTGCTGCTCTAACGAGAGGGTGTCACTGCGGTGGTCAGGGCTGGAAATCGCCCGTTCTCTTCCCAAAACCTGACCATCATGTCCCCTCCACGGAATTTTATAAAATGCTTTTGTTTAAGATTCACCGGGATCCCTGCGCTCTTGCCATTCCATCCCATTAAGATATGAAATCCAGGGTTCCTGCCCTTTTGATAAAATTCTACTTGGCAGAGAATTACTCAAATCCAGAGACGCTCAAGACACCAGCTTCATCCCGCAGGCACCCAGTGTTTCTGCACAGGGATCTGCCAGGACTGACAGTCACTCTGCAGAGCCAGATGCCAAGGGAAAGGCTGCCAGAGCTGCTAGGACCAGAAGCTATTCTGCCTCCCTCCTCCTCCTCAGCCCTGGCCACAAGCCACGCCTTCTCCCCAGAGCTCCTAGAGATGATCCTTTCTGAGCTGCAGCCTCAGAATCTTGAGATTATGAATGTCCCTTCTAAGAACCAATGGCCCCTTAACACAGACAAACCATAGGATGCTCTCCCTTCCCTGCCAAATCACTTATGTGGCAAGGAGTGAAGTAATGTCACTTTCTGAGTGACTAAATGTCTGGAATTTTCCTGGCTAGTCTGTATCTAAGGGTACCAACAGCAGAAAGGTCCCTCCAGCAGTTCAGGAATGAAAGACTTTCTATAACCTTCCATCAGATGATACAAAATTCCGAAATCCTGGAACTGAAGCCAGCTGAGAAGGGGAACAAAACACCAGGAGTCCTAAAAGGGCTTTTGTCTTTAAGCTGCTGAAAGGGGAAATCCCTGAAAGGAGGCATTTTGTCTAGATCATCAGGTGGGATACATGGAGAAAGGTATATGGAGATTTCTCTGGGCCGGAAACGAATGAAAATTGAAATAAGGCATGTCATATCTCATGTCCAAATTTCCCGATTCTCCTTCGGATGCGCTCGTCAGCCAGCACCCTGTACTTAATAGCTCTCACCCCTCCTCAAGGCGTTCTGGGCGTCCTGAGTCATGGCATCGGCTTCATCCAGGATCACCAGCTTAAAGCCTTTCCTAGGAAAACAAATGGCACCGTCTAAAGACTTCTTCCATCTCACTTCAGCTTCCAGGCCCAAACCTACATCTTCACATTTGTGCCTCGGGCTCTGTTTCAGAGTCCATTTCTCTTGGAACTCTGACCACAGCAGACATCTGTGGTCACACAGAGGAAATGCCCCCAGCACTCCTTCAGCTCTTAAACGGAACTGAGGTGTAACTTCTGGCACCTTCATCTTTCTTCCACACAGTATCCTATTACTTGAGTGCTGTTTTTTTCCATCCACTACCTTCACTCACGGCTGTCTCTTTATCTGTTTTTTTTTTTTAATATCTTTATTGATTTCAGAGAGAGGATGGGAGAGGGAGACAGAGATAGAAACATCAATGATGAGAGAGTCATTGATCGGCTGTCTCTTGCATGCCCTCGACTGGGGAGAGAGCCCGCAACCCGGGCATGTGCCCTGACTGGGAATCGAACTGCAATCTCCTGGATCCTAGGTTGACGCTCAACCACTGGGCAATGCCAGCCAGGCTCTTTTTGTCTTCTTTTTAAACCACCATCCTGGTTATCCATCCTGATCTCAGTTCATTTTTGTCTAAATTCAAACTAGCTCATCCAGGCTTAGGATGTAATCGGTCCTCAGTTAACTAATAAAATGAAGTTAATGCTTCCCCCAAGAACTCGCTAATACAGACTTAGATAACATTTTATTTCAATATTAGCATTTCAACATTTTTTTACCACCATCCCCGCACTTTCTCTCTTTTTCATGGCTGCTTTTGACAAAGTCATTTTTTCCCCCTTTACAAACTGACAAAGGAGAGGATTCACAAAATTAAGCTCTATGATCTCACTGATCAAAATCTCCAGGGACAGAAATTATGTAGATATTTCTTACTTAAATATTGTCCTTGTGCTAGCAAAGCTCAGGATTGGTCCCCGAACGATATCTATTCCTCGGTCGTCTGAAGCATTCAGCTAAACATGGAACAGAGAAGCCAGAATGAATAAAAAACATGTTGTGTACCATTTACGAATTAAAGTATCTTTTCATCAATCTAACTAACTAAGCAAGCTAGGTCTCCAAGTCTAACAACAGCTAAGAGAGAATCACTATTCAAAAAACAGGATGACATTTGTATTTAAAACTCATAACATCATTACAGTCTGAAAGGCAAAAGACTGATTTTCCTCCCCCCTTTTGAGGACAATCACTGACATCCTCTGGAGGAATCACTAATTGGCCTGGTCTCAGTGAACAGCACCTCTGACGAGCAGAAGGATGCTAATTTTAGCTACCACAACCCAGAGCAACCCAGAAGTTACCAAGTTTTAATACATTGAGGTAAGAACGTGTGGGAGCAAGGTTCTAATGTCTCGAACAAAAGAATGTTTTCTTGCAATCAACAATATTTACAATTTTGTAATCTAAGTGTATTAGTGGAGTCCCAGCAGTAAACAGATGGCGTACTCAAATTCAGTACTTTGAAGAGAATTACATGAAGAAATATTTTAAAAGGTGTTGGTGGAGTGTGGGGAAACCACAAGGGCAACGCAATACCTCAGGGACTACTGGGGCCCATTACCACCCCCAAGTCTTAAAGAGTTAGTAGGGGAGGGACAGCACCACCTGAAGGCAGTGTGATGTGCCCAGTGGATGGGGATGTTGTCAGCCTGTGGTGGCCCCCAGGGAAGGACCCGGCATCACTCTCCAGCCCCACCCCACTCTTGCCTGGGCCCCTATTGGCCAACCCCAACCAGGAGCCAGAGGACAAGGGAGCTTGCAGTAAATACAGCTCAGCCTTCCAGGGCAAGAACCTGCTGCAGCAACATGGAGAAGCCATCTGGAGGGGCACATGGAGACAGCCAGCAACTGCGTGACCACTCACTGAGTGACCACTGAGTGTTCGGGTACAAGTTGGCAACTGCAAAGAAAAACAGCCCTACAACTGCCTTCTAGCCAATGCCAATCCAGACCAAAATATCAATTATAGGAAAAAGTGAATGGAAATACCTTATTTTATGTCTGCTGCTCTCCCAACCACCAGCAGGACTACTTGTAAACTAAAACAAAAGCTAACAGAACTAAAAACGACTGGAGTACTTAGTCAGGTAAGAATAATCCTATTTACCTCCAAGACCATGGAGCCAAATTCTTTATCTTTGTACAGCTGTTTAGCACAGGCTAGGATGGTGGATGTCTTTCCTGTCCCCGGAGGACCATAGAGAAGCAGGTGTGGCAATCGGTCTTCACTGATAAATTTTTGAACTGAGGATTAGGAAGAGACACCATCAGTTTCTGACAGTTGCCTCATTCACTGTGGGCCCTTGAGTTGGGCAGAATGCACCGCAACCCCATGTTTAACTCAGAGGCAGGAATAAAAAATCTGAAGGACCCGACTCTTACAGCAACATCCCATAAAGCTCAATCAGAATCTTTAAACTTACTACTCAGCAGAGACAACACCACCAAGAAAGTTACACGGGTCCTTCACCTAGAACAGCAACGGGCAGATGGATGCTTACTGGTATTCAAAATGTCCTGATGAGAAATGAGATCATTCAGTGTCTGTGGCCGGTATTTTTCCACCCTGAAATACAATTTAGCATGGATTACACCACATAGAAATGCAAGAACAACTTGTTATGTGCAAAAGAATCCTTTTATACCCTAACTAAAAGAGGAAGAGAAACAGAACCCTTTACATTTGAATAACAGACCAGTGGTTCTCAACCAGGGAGGTTGTGTCCCCCAGGGAACATTTGGAGACATTTTCATTTGTCACAGTTGGGCGGAGGTTGCTGCTGCATCTAGTGGGTAGGTACCAGGGATGTTGCTAAAGATCCTATAATGCAAAGGACAACCCCCATACCCTCCCCCCCATCAAGTATCTGGCCCAAAATGTCAATAATGCCGAGGCTGATAATCTCTCATTTCACCTTTCCAGCTTTCTGCCTATAATCTCAACCTGGATGGGCACCTATTATTTCAAAGTGAATTCAAAATTGAACTCATACCCAAGTATAGAGAAACAGATAAATGGTGATATATCCATACAGTGGAATATTATTCAGCCATAAAAAGAACTGGAGTGTGATACACACTGCAACATGGATGAGCCTTGAAGACATGGTAAGTGAAAAGAAGCGTTACAAAAGCGCACATATTGATTGTATTTATAGGAAATATCCAGAAAAGGCAAATTCATAGAGATGGAAAGTAGATTAGTGGTTGTCAGGGGCAAAGAGGGAAATGAGGAGTGATTGCTAGTGGGTATGTGGTTTTTTCCACTTGGGGGTGATAGTTGCACAACATGCTGAGTACACTTAACGGCGCTAAACTGTACACTTTAGAATGCTTATAACTGTAAATTGTATGTCACATGTTTTTACAAGGATAAAAACAAATTGAAGTTATTATTAGACAAGAACTTGGGATTTTTCTGAAATCAAGCCAAATCCCATTGGTCTTTAAATCATGAGGACATAGCTGTGGAAGTAGGCTGGTTAAGAGGACAAGCTCTGAGTTCAGACCGCTTGGGTTCAAATCCAAACCTATTTTCTAGTTTTGGACCTTAGGCAAGTCATTTAACCTTTTGGCTGTATTACTCCAATTGTAAAATTGGACTACTAAAGAATACCTACCTCCTAGGCTCTTTGTAAAGATCAAACATCGACTAGGGTGCCTGCTAATCTATCAGAAGGCCATTTAAATAAAAGTTAACTAGACAGCGTTATCATTATTATCTTAGTTTAGAATTTGACCGATAATCGCATCGAAGATTTTGGCAAGAACGACGAGGGCACTTTGGCACGGTGGCCAGTGCAATGTCAGGACACGGGGCAAACCCCTGCGCCGCCATCCAGGCGCGAAGGCCGCTTTCCTCTGCGGCAACGGGAATGGCGGGGGTAGCGCCGGCAGGATCTGGCAGAAGCCCTAAGCACCGCGGGGGATTGGGGAGTTAGGGGGTGTCGAGGCGAACATCTGTGGCTCCGCCCGGGACACAGGTCCGGGGGCGCCGGGCCGAGGCCCGGCCTGGACCAGGCCGCTACCCTCGCCGCCCACCGCCTCCCGCAGAGGCCCACCCCCTTCCCCGCGGCAGCCGGGCCTCCTCCTACCAGGGCAGGTTCCTGATCTTGGGCGCCGAGGGCTGCTGCTGCTGCTTGTGCGCCGAGGTTTCCATGGCGGGGTGACGAAGGGGTTCAAGTCCCCCGAAGTCGTCGCGTCCCCGCGGGGTCCGCACAGAGACCAGCGCAGATCCAACCCCGGGACCCTCACACTTAAGAGTTCGCGCGCAAAAGCAACTCTCGCGAGGTTTACCCGCTACTTCCGACTTCCTCTCTAGGCCCCGCCCCCTCAGTGTTGCTAAGGCGCCGTTGCCTGGTTACCGGGAAGCGCTGGCCGTCAGCTTCCCTGGCGCCGCGCGCTCTCCGGTGCCGAGCGCCTGCCTGAGCCCAGGGACGCGGGCAGCGGGGGGAGAGGCGAGGCCGCCCCTGCAACCGCATCATCTTTCACACGTTAAAGTCAGTTCCAGGCATCGCCAAAGTGCAAGCACTCGCCGTTTCAAAGGACACAGAAAGCTGCCAGTGCTAAAAAAAAAAAATCCGGAGGAAAAAACATCCCCAAGGGACAAGGCCAGTTCCCGAACATAGATGTCGCGTGCAAAGAGCCTCAAAAAAAGCTTTCGGCCCCCAGAGCTGTAGGTGAGTATTTCACATAGAAAAGCAACTGCCAACAAACGCAATCGCAGTGTGCCCCAAATCCACGTGCCTCGCCCAACCAAATCTATAGAGGACCAGCCCCCAGAAACAGGTCCAGAGGGGAAGCAGCCCCAACACGCTCCCGGGTAGGTTAATATGTGTAATTGGAAAGGGCCAGATAACAGGCACAGAGGACAGGGTCCCCTATGAAAATAAGAGGGGAATTGCTATCAAAGTTTTGTGCTGTTTTCTGAGAGGAGGGGATTGGGGACCACTCGTGTTTTCTTCTACTTGGCTGGTCTGTGCTTCCCAGCAACGAGTGTCTGTTACAACCTCGGTAAAGTTTTGCCTGTGAGGGTTCATCTTATGTGTTATTTTTTGGGGGGGTGTCCCCGAGGGTGTTTCTGGAAGAGACTGGCCTAGGAATGGGTAGACTAAGTAAAGATCTCCTGAATCAGCCAATGTGAGTGGGCATCATCCCATCCTTTGGGAGCNTATTTTTTGGGGGGGTGTCCCCAAGGGTGTTTCTGGAAGAGACTGGCCTAGGGATGGGTAGACTAAGTAAAAATCTCCTGAATCAGCCAATGTGAGTGGGCATCATCCCATCCTTTGGGAGCCTGATTAGAACAAAAAGGCAGAGGAAGGGTGAACTTGCTCTTTTCTGAGCTGGGACATCCATCTTCGTCTGCCCCGGGACACCTGTGCTCTTGATTCTCAGGCCTTTGGAATCCGACTAAGCTACACCTCCAGCTTTCCTGGGTCTTCGGCTTGCAGACGGCAGAGCGTGGGACTCCGTGGACTCCATAATCATGTGAGCCAATTCCTATTATATAGAATTAAAATATCTATATGAATATATAAAATATTTAAAATAGAAAATATTATATATAATGATATCACTAATATATAACATTATATAGTAATAACATTTATTGTATAATATAGAATATAGAAATATATTTTAAAAGATACATAAATATAAGTATAAACACACACACATATATTTTAATTTTTCTATTGGTCCTGTTTCTGTGGAGAACCCTGATAAAGTGCCACAACCTGGGCTTATCCAATGGCATGGTAAGAGCCNGTAATAACATTTATTGTATAATATAGAATATAGAAATATATTTTAAAACATACATAAATATAAGTATAAACACACACATATATTTTAATTTTTCTATTGGTCCTGTTTCTGTGGAGAGCCCTGATAAAGTGCCACAACCTGGGCTTATCCAATGGCATGGTAAGAGCCATCTTGCTAAGGGGCCTTCCCATTAGAAACACGATGCCACCACTTCCTAGAACTGGAAGACGCAAACAAGACGGATCAAGTTCTCATAAAACTGTGTGCACCTGCTGTTCCGCTTGCTTGGAACGCAGCATTCTCCTGCGTGACGTATTATGTATTTACGAGGTTATTGTTTGCCTCCGCAGTGCACTGTGAGCTCATTGAGACACTAGGCTCTGACTTACTCACCACTGTCCCCCTGGTGCCTGGAACAGTGCTTGGTTCAATTAATAATTGTTCAGTGAATGAATGGATGAGTGATAATAGCTAATATTCATTAGGCAGTTACTGTAGCCTGACAGTGTTCTAAGTGCTTTACGTTTATTATACCCACTCGATGGTTGTGATAAGCCCAAACTGATAACATTGGCCCCATTTCATAAGTAGCTGCCCATGTTCTGATGAGGTGTCAGGGGCAGAACTGGATCTTACCAAAACAGTGTGATTCTAGAGCCTAAACTCTTAACCACTACACTAGTGTGGTCCTTGGACCAGCAGCCGCAGCAGCGGCATCCCCTGGGGACTTGTTAGAAACGTTAATTATTCTTCCCCCCACCCCAAACCCATTGAACTTGAAACTCTGGGGGTGGCCCAGCCATCTGTGTTGTAACAAGCCCTCCAGGGGATTCTGATGTGAACAAATTTGAGAATCACTGCCCTACACTCTACTGCTTCTCAGTCCTTGAGCGCTCCATAACTTCTCTTTCTAAGAAAAAGAACAGCTACTCACATGCATATTCTGAGAAAATGAAGGTGCCCTACTGAATGTCATTTATGTGTGTGTGTAGTTTTGTCTGTGTTTTTGCAATTATTTGAAGGTCTAGTGCTTTGGGCAAGCTATTTAGTATCTCTTTGGACCTCAGTATTGGCACCTGTAAAATGGGGAGAGGGGGAGGGCTGGACGAGAGAGGGATGACATTAAAAGTATCTGAGGATTTTTAAAAATTCCCATGCCAGAAATCCAGCCAGACCAATTAAATTAGACCTGTAGTGGGGAGAGGACCCAGCATTGGCATCTTAAAAAGCTTCCCAGGTGATTCTAATATTCAGCCAAAGCTGAATTATAGACTGAGCTGATCACAGCAACCCTAGTTCCCTGATTGGCTTTCAAGGTGAGCATGTGACCCAGTTCTGCCCAATGAGATGTAAGGGGGGGCAGCTCTGGGAAACTTTTCTCATTACTTTGCTGATCTTTGCTGTGGGTGATTTTTAGCCTCTCTCCCCAGGGCCAAAAGTCTATCACTTTAAAGAGAAAGAGAGAGAGATGAAGACCAGGGTTGCAAGCTCGCATGACTATAAGTAGCCTGAAAGTTAAGACATGAAGGAAGAGGGTTGGGTGGAAGCTATGCCCTGCCTCAAGGAGGCAGAGTTTATAGATGGAAGGTTTAAGCAGAAAAGGAATGTAACACGGAGATACTGAGCAGCTCACGATCAGCAGGCAGGCTGGAGAACCCAACTTGGAAAATGGGACCGACAGGCCATGGGACTAAAACCATGGTCAACGTCACTCCACGGAACCAACAGGAAGGAAACCGTTGCTGCTGCTGACCTTTGGATCCTACTACCCCTGCTCCTTAGAATCTGGATGCTGCTTTCACCATTTCTGCTGTGAGAAAGAATTCATCAATTCTCTCCTGTACTGGCTTCTTCCTAACACTGGCGCCCCATGGAAAAGCCTGGGAGACATGTCCAATTGGCCAGGCCTGGGTCACACGCTAGTGAGTACCTGGGATACAGCTTGAGTGGTGGGAAACGCAACGCATCTGTTGTGAACTGGAATCAATTCCTGAACATAGGAGAGGGGTTCAGATGCTGGCGGCCAAAGGATCACAAATGTCCACTACACCAGTGTTCAGCCATTCAGGACAGCAGCCAGATGTTGCCAGACCTTCTAATTTTTCCAGAGAAACCAGGAATTTGGGTTTTTATGTGAAATTCCTGGATTTAAATATTAGTAACTAGATTTTTTAAAAAAATTAAGGCCAAACAAAAATAATGTAGGATCACTTTGTGACTTTTGATTTCTCAAAGGACAGATGATCAGGCAAATAATATGATAATTCCTTCTTACCTTCTGCTTTGATTTTAGACCTTCTGGGGGATTAAGGGCAGATCACTCTGGTATCTCCATGTGGATTTGTGACAGGCACAAACTTTTCTTATGTAATCAGAACCAGATTTGGAAATGCTTTCATAAAACATCAGGTCCTGGAGATGGCAGGATCAGAGGTTACCAACAAAATTACCAACAAAAGGCATTTGCTCTTGAAATTGAATTAGGGAAAGGGAGCCCTGGATTTTATCACTCTCAGCTTTGGAACAAACTTGGCTTTGGACACAGCACTTACTGCCTTCATTTATTTTTAAGACTTGTTTTTATGAGAGAATGGGATGCGAGGCTATCTTTGGAAGATGCCGGCAGAAGAAAATCAAACCGGGTCTTTCTCCTGAACATGTTTGTACTGGTGAGATCATGTTTATACAGGAGCAAAGCCTTGAAGGAGGAAACAGGCCTCAAAGAGCAATCTGAAGAGTACGCGTGAGGGGAAGGGCCATCTTCTTTGGTGACCAGGCAAAATCATTGACTGATGAGGAATTTAAGTCCTCAGATGTTTGGGGCTACTTAAATTCTTCAACTACTTTTTCTCGTCAGAAGCCTAAAAATGACCCACATCAGGCCTTCGGGATATCCATTCATCAACCCCTAACATTTGTTGATTGAATAACTGATGAATGGTGACTTACTGATTCCTGAATCCAATTCTCTTTATGTTTGAGATTAAAAGGGTAGCTCATATGAATTTGCTCCGTGATATTCGGGCTCAAAAAAATAAATAAATAAATTCACATTTCTTAATTTTTCTAGATTAAGTATATTTGGCCCCAGGTCCTCCCCTGATCCTTTCTCAAGCCAAGGTAGTTTGGAAATTCATCTATGGGGAGTGGGGAGCTGGGTCCTTCCCTTCCCTGGGGTGACTGAAGAAGCATAAGAGGTTGTGGGAAAATAGGGCAGAAAATGTGGAGAAGGGCTTTTAGCCTTCAGTTCTTTCTGTCATTTGTTGAAATAGTTGCTCTTTGTACAGACTGAAACGATCCCTCTGGATGTGGGCANAAGGGCTTTTAGTCTTCAGTTCTTTCTGTCATTTGTCGAAATAGTTGCTCTTTGTACAGACTGAAACGATCCCTCTGGATGTGGGCAGCTCTGTTGATAACAGTGCCCTTTCCCTCAGTGCGCAACTCAGCCACTCAGAGCTTCAGCCATTGCTTCCAGCGGCACAGGGTTCGAAGTTCAGACTTCCCTGGGCCCCTCC